GCTGGAACGTCTGGCTGGGCTCATGTTACAGGGCAGCCGCAGAGCACGACCACAGGCGAGAGGTAGAAGGGCAAAGGGGAGGTGGAACAGGGGTGAGAGACAGAAGGGGAGAAGGTGTGAGATATGGGTTTGCAGTGCTAGCAAAGTCCTCAGCAGTGAGACACAGAGGGGAGCCTTTCTGCCCCAAGCCCGATCTGGCTCACCCTGAAACCAGATCCAAAGAGAGGGTGAAATGAATCGGTCAGAGGGGAAGCAGCTAGGAGTGCACAAGCTGCTGAAAGGAGTCAAAAAGGCTGAAATACTAAGTAATATTATATCCTTAATCATTTATTTTATTGACTGAATATTTACTTTACTTGGCATGTTGTTATTTGTGACCAGTGTGTTGAAATAATACAGTCTCAGTACATTTTTATCAAATAAAGTTTTGCTTTTCCTCCTCTTTGTATTCCAGTTAGTTTTGGAGTCTTGGACTGTACATATGAGGGTTTTTCCAGCAGTAACATAACTGACTTTACATGCACAAATGTGATGTTTTGGTGCATTATAATGACAATATCAGCCTGAATTTTCTACCAGTTATCTCTTGAATTATACATTCAAAGAAAAGGCGATCTAAAGCGTTTAAGGGGTGCAGTGTGAAGATGAAATCTGCAACAAAACTCTTCACCTGGTCGTTAAGTCCCACATCCACCATCATCATCTCCCCTCCAATGCTGATCCAGCCAGAGCCACAGGGATTGTGAGAGTTCACGCCACGCCTGAACCACACCTTGACCGACACCCACAGATACAGACATGTTACCTCCGCAATAAACAGCAGCTTCTCAGAGTCTACAACTATGAGAAGAATGAATCACCTTGTAGTCTTTAGTGACCACCCAGACCACACTGACACCAACAGCCACATGAAGCGCTTCAACCTCCTTTACTGGTGATTCCACCTCTACCCACGATGTGCCTGAAAGAAAACACCATACGAGTTCCCACATGACAACACTACCGGTGCTCTATTTTGTGAGACTTGCACAGTGAATTTCATGACTGATTGTTATAATCCTAGGGTTTTCCTTTCTAGATCCATTTTAGAAATAGATCATATATGATGGACTATAATGAAAAAGAAGAAAGGACTAAAGTGGAAGATACTGGGGAAATAGTTATAGGTCAAGGTCAAGTGCACTGAATGCTGACCAGTTGGGCTGTCCAGACTGAGCCCAGTACGGACCAGCAGGTTCCCATCCCACAGTAAAGCCCACAGCAGGTCTCCAGGACCAGCTGATAACTGAGCCACCTCCTTGGGAACTTCCACTTCTTCCCATCTAGAGCCCTCTGGGACCCGAGGGTTGATGCCCTCTCTGAACCACACCTGCAAGGGACAAAGACATAAGATTAAACTGCATGGGACATGCTATATGTTACTTGCATTGTAAAAAAAAACAACAACAATAATAAACGTGCCTTTGGTGCATTGTGATCGAAGTCAAATCGGGCTTAACAGGCTCAGAAGACCTTAAAGTTTCACTGTGTAACTCATTAAATCCTGCTGCCCCCTTGTGGTCACAAACTTGAAGTGAACCACACTACGGTATCTGACAGTGATCTAAACTTGATATATCTTGCCTCACAGAAGCAGTGTGTGTTATTAGGACATAATATGTTTCCATTACTAGTTGGTAAACATATAGATTACATGTTCAGAAGTACCAGGTGGAGAGGTTGTCAAGGACAGCAACAGGCACTAAGGTGAGTAGCAGGATATACTCAGTGCTGCATCGACTTTTAAGGAAATTTTACATTTTATTAATCAGGTTTTTCTGTTGATGTAATTAATAAACCCAAGAGTTGCAAATTCTCAAAATTACAGTGGAGCATATAATCCTAAATTCTTTTTTTTTTTTTTAAAGAAGGGGCAAGTTTGGTGTGCTTCACATGCTCCAGTTGTTGGTCCACTAGACTGACCTGTCCTTGCTGGGACACCCCCCAGAGGTAGGGATACCTTCCAGACTGGTCGCTCATCTCCCAGCCACCACAGCTGATGTCACAGAGTGGCAATGGAGGTTTCCTGGGACTGTCCAAGGGGATCTGCAAAAAGACAGCAAAAAAGACAGCAATGTTTTCTTGATGTTCAGTCTGACCTGCGGATATATACTAATGAGAGTGTCCAGACCTTTGCCCAGGTGCCTTGTGCAATGTATCTTCTGTAACGAATCCAGCGCCTACGACGAACACAGGAGTTCCACTTCTTATCTGGAGAGAAGTTGGCAGGAAAATCGACTGCATACTCCCAGCCCTTAAGACACAGATCAGTTCTATTTCATCAAGAGAGCAAAAAGAAAGAAGAGAGGTGTAGAAATGTCTTCATGAGGTCATATGATCTCTCTCACCCCGGTCTGGCTGGGTTCTCCTCCACAGCTCTGATCCACATACCAGTCACCTTCCCACTCCCAGCTGCGAGAGGGCAACTGGAAGCTGTGGAGTGGTTGAGGATTCATCCCAGTCACGTCGCTCCACGGCCAGCGGTCGGTGGGCAGCAGTGTGTCAGTGAAGCCATCCACTGGGTTCCACCTCTGAAAACCAACACAGCTTAGCCATTAACTTACTGTACAGCTAAAGTTGTTTTTAGTGTAAAAGTAAAATGGCCGGGCTGACCTGATTTTCATAGGTTTCCTCTCGGTAGCGGATGGGAGTCTCACTGGGCATTATGTTGAGGTAAACATGGTGGTCACAGCCAATGCCCCAGCAGTGCCCCTTCCCAGCTGTGACGCGCTTCAGCTCTAGTAACGTGTCATCAGCACGCTCCCAGCGCTGGCCAGCTGTGGAAAGGCTGTATACCCTGCCATACACATCCACGGCCCACAGCAATGTGATGGGCATGATGGCCCCTGACCAGAGACAAAAAGACAGCACTCATCCTTCTGTACTTCAGCCTGATTGATATATATTTATATGTGCAATAAGATGAATGTGGTTTCAGTCATTACTCAAAATTTTAATTCATTTCATGAATTCTTAAACAGAATGAGAACTAAGTCTGAAATTATTCTTAGAGTTAATTTTTTTCTTAAACATCTAATTTTCAGTCATTACTCAAAATTTTAATTCATTTCATGAATTCTTAAACAGAATGAGAACTAAGTCTGAAATTATTCTTAGAGTTAATTTTTTTTCTTAAACCTCTGATTTAAATTCAGATGGGGGCTTTTCAATAGGGTGAAAAAGAGGAATAATCCAAAACAAATTTTGACCAGTGGAATTTAAATCTTTCACTACAAATATACTGCAAAATAAATAAATAAATAATTAAATCCTGACTTATTCTCAGGTTTCTAACGGGATTCTTAAAATTGTAACTTGTTTCTTGTAACCCGTAACTTGACATGAAGTTTTCAAAAGTGCAGCAACAGCGTTTTAATTTGACATTTGTGACCGGAAGTCTTGTTTTTATCGTCACTGGCCACCTTGACACCGACTTTATCGAATGATACTAATGCGCTACTGTATATACTGTAACTGTCTCGGCTCCCCTGTCAATCAACGTAGGTCTTTATTAAGGAATATGTAGTTACCTGATTTAATTATAAGCTTGAATCCACACAAACTGAACCGATGGTTGTCAAGCCAGGAGTAAATGTAGCCTATCACATATAGTTTTTAAAAACAGCTGTTTTCCGAAATAAAGTTACGATGCCTGCACTGCAGCTTTACGCACACATGTACGCTAACACACGCACGCGCAGACAGTGAATCCAGTATCAGAAACACTCAGGCTCAAACAGCAGCATACCTGGTTATTGGTAGCCTATCTATCCGATCCGCGGTTGTCAAGGGAATATGAACAGACGCGTCACAACATCAGGTGCAAACAGCATAAAACACCTGCCATCCCCGAGGCCCATACTAGGACACATTCAAAATGCATGTCAAATAAGAAAAGAAACATGAGGTGGCTGTCCGTGCTATGCAGCGGCGTAGCACATATAAATTAGCTGATATAGGCTCATATGCCGTAAAGCCGGCGGATAGGCTATAGCATATCAGGGTACAGTTAGCCGCCTGCTAACTCTCATAAAATTTCATATACATAACATTTACTTACTTATGCGACTCTATTGTGTGCAACAGCTTCGTAGTCAAAAGTAAAGTCATTCGTGCACATTGCCACCGCAATATTTAAGTCACATTCTGGACCAGAGGACTCCTCTATCCAACTCCTTGACCACAACAGGAAATGGAGGAAGTGTAAATCTGATTGGTTGAAACTCGGCAGGAGTGCGGGAACTCGCGCTCCCATTGGTCGAATACTGGAGCCTCTGATCTTTTTTTTTCCGACAGCCGCGGCTGACTGACGCGCATATTTCAATAATTTATTCAGCTACAGATTAAATATTAAAGTGAAATGGTGGTTTTACTTGTTTGGCTACAGTTGATAACATTTTAATCACAATAAAACAGGATACAAATAACTACATATCCTTTTCCCCTTTTGATCAGTGTTGACATAAGTCTGCAGCGGTAACATAATTCAGATGCATTCACCTTTTGCAATCTATTGAGTTGCTAAATTAAATTTTAATCTTAGAAGTGTGCTAGCATTTTTGTACATCCGTGTACACCCAATAACTCTAAACGTTTCCCCCCAAACATGTATTAAAAACCAAAAACTGAATTCACTCATTAGCCTACAAACGTATTCAGCCACTTAGCTGGTGAGTTTCTGGTTACCTTGGGAGATAATACAATTCCATGTGCAGGCCTAATAGGGGTTAACTGTTTTAGTCCAACAAAGTTTTTTTTTCCCCCTGGAGCCATAGTTTTATATGTTCAGACATTCAGGAGGGATCCCAGGTTCAGACCCAGGTTCAGTTCCCTTGCTGTAGACCAGAGGTGGTCATCCATGTACCCTGAAGAGCCAACGATCTGTAGGTTTTCACCATAATCATCGCCTCACTGGTTTTTTATTTCATCAAAGGTGTGCTAATCAGGTCAGAGTGCAGCTTGACCACTACTATAAAGTTTTGTCCAGTAATCCCTAACCTAGGGGTTTGGGAAATAATGTTTTATATTATTATTACATTATTAATATAATTAAGATGAAAATTATTGATAACTTTGTTGTGACCTAGAACTCTCCAGATAGTCTAAATAAGGCCACATCTGGTGGAATAAAACACAAGAAGGAGAGAAAAATAGTTTATTTACAAAATCTTTAAATAAATGAAAGATAAGAGACATGGTACCTTTCTATAGCAAAATGTTAATGTTACCTTCCATTTTTAAAACTGAAATTTGCTATTTCAACAATTACCTTTTTGTTTTTCATTCCAACATCTAACTACAACCTTTTTTTAAATCCTTTAGACGTTTTATTGTCCCCAAACCTTCAACCTCATCTTCTGATCAAAAGTGAACCCATTATGCAACAGTGAGTGTGGCCAACTCATCATGAGGACAGCGTTTATGTAAGTTACAGCGTAAACAAGTCTGCCCTCCACACATGTGGTGTGCTCAATACCTGTCGCAGTGAACTAACAACCGCATTACCTATGGTTGCACGAGGCTTAGGCCTACCACTAAGATCGGTTTGCACTAGAGTTAAACGTTTGTCTTTAGTGACAGAGCCCGTGATTCTGCATTGCACTTCGTGCAGCAGCACCACAGGACCACAGACCTTTATTGTGGTGAGCTGTCGCTTTAAGAAGCCTTTCACTGCGCAGAGGCGCTACGGCAGCTCATCACATGATTCTTCTCTTGTGACAAGCCAGACAGGAAAAGCCTTTCTGACTTCTGGCTGAGTTATAAGATACTGCGATGAGAGATAACTTCTGCTTCGGTACCGAAGGACCAACTGTAAAGGGGGAAATGAAGTTAAGTTAATCAATACCAGACTGATTCAGACCATTCCTGTGTGGTAAGTAACGTTTGGGGGTTTTGCGCCACCGGGGACACAGTGCGCATGGAGAGGGACGAAGTTTCCTTTTGGTGCAGCATTTTCCCTTTGTTTTCTTTGTTTTTGTCGCCACTGCGTGTCAACCAACGTCGCACGGCTTTTTGGGCAACAAGACACAAGTAGCCGGAGTTCAGTTTTGACCCTGTGTGTTACCGAAGAATCGAGTTAAGAGCAGAGGAAGACACAACTTGAGGACGCGTTACGTCGGGTGAGATGGTGGACAACAAACCCCTTCTTCAGGACAAACCTCCTGCTTACAACGCCGTCCCCAGGGGTTATGAGTACGGCCCGCAGCAGCAAGGCTATGGGGCCATCGCCCCTCAGGCCCCGCCGCCCTACCAGTACCCCGGTGGCCAAGGTAAGTGGCTCCGTTTATGTCGCACATTTAAATAATGCACACATTTACCAAAAAGTAAAGCGTCCAGACTGGAAGGCAGCTCTGCCTCCTCCCCACTTCCGTCTTCGTCTTAATGAACGCTCGGTTGAGTGCGTCACTGAGTGGGTTTGCCCTAAGAAATAGTTTCTTAACCACTGTCTGAAACTTTTAGTCAATATCGAAGATAATGGCTTTCCTTAATCAGCTCCAGCGTCTGCGCATGCGCAATAATCTCGCTTAATTTTTATTAATTGCATGCAACACGAAAACAAACAAGTGTTTTACAGTACGAAACCTAAGAAAGGTGACTAGAAAAGAGTATCATTACGAAGAATTAAAGCAGCTAAGAACAAAAACAACGTTAATTAATTTAATTTCCCCCTTCAGCCTATTCCAGGCGGGTGGAGGAGAAGACATAGAAGCTTTCTTTCCTGTCTCTGTCCAAAGGCTCGGGACAGACAGTAGATATTGGTCCTGTGATCTTAGATTATGACTGGACAATGAGCTCTACCTTTGGTTTTATGAATGTCTGTTGTACATGGTCATAAAAGAGTGTACAGACACGTACACACAGATGTGCCTTGGAGCTGTGCTTTATTTTTGATGCTTTTGATTGATGCTGGAACTTTTCTTGTATCTACTGTTTATTCCAGTATGTAATACACAAAGTTAACTTTTTAAAAACAATGTAGCCCTGTTTAGCATGATATTTACACATAGGAACGGACTTTCCTACCAACAGATCCGCTGTAGATCACTTCATGCTTGACTTAAAAATGGCAGTCTTGCACTTGATAATAAATGTCCCTTTCTTTTGCCCTGTCCCTCGTGTTCTGTTACTATCTACATCAGGACTATCTGTCCTGTTCCCAGTGATGAGTGCAGCCTCTGATTGTGAATGTGAATGTGTCGGGGTCACACCTCACATTTATGCTGACCTGCCCTGAATAGAATTTTAAATCCTAAATAAAAGCATAGTATCTCTAGTGTTATAAAAAAATAAAAAGTTAGTCCTTACTAACGTGTGTGCCATCTCCTTCTGTCGACCATAGGATACCCACCAGCCCCTGTGGGCCCTGCTGTATCCCAGCAGCCCTACACTGAGACTTACACCATCATCCAACCCTCTGTAGTGGTGGTGGGAGGCTGCCCTGCCTGCAGGTGAGGACACACGCATCATGGAGTGCTGTAATCAGGGTTTTTTTTTTTTTTTTTTGGAAAGTTGTCCTACATACATCAGAAAAGTGATTAACTTGCACACACAGTTTGTACCCAAAGAAACCAGATAGAGTGGAACATCTGGGATGAAGACGGGAAAGCCCCAGTTCACTCAGATTGTTCACTGAGAGCGAGGTTTCTCGTTTAGCACGTGGTTGAAAGATGTTAAAGGAATGCTCACTGTGACTAACCTGGCTTCTCAGCACAGTCCCTCTTGAGATGGCGTCAGTTAAATTTTTTTTTTAAACTGCGTATGTTGCCTGTGACCAAATGCTGAGTGGATATGACTTTCAGTTTTGAAAAAAGGTTTAACATTAGTTTCACTCTGCCTGAGTCAACATCCTGTCAGTCAGATGCTTTCAGCCTCATGCATGTGACAGATCTAGTCGGGCTACATTGGGCCAAAGGTTGCAGTTCACATGAACACAAAATGGAAATCTGATTTGCATTGGGATTGTTTATTGTCACAGGGTGAGTGAAGTTCCGGTATTTCGACTTGATCTGAAAGTTTATATGTTTATTGATGTTCACTTGGTAACTTTTATGGCCGGCGCTCTGAAATTTACTGTAATATGATGATTAATTATGTATCTCCAAAGAAAGAAAAAAGCCCTCAGTCATATGTCAGATTGTGTTGTTCAGTGCTTTAACTTGCTGATTAGATAAAGCTACAATGAAGGCAGAAATAAAATCTATAAAAAAACTAACTTATAAATAACTACACAACAACACTGTCACATATTAATCTTTACTATAATCATCACCCACATTCATATCTGGTTTTCTCTACCAAGCACTTTGTACCAACCATGTATTTCTAAAAGTACCACAGATGGTTTGTGACACACAGTAGATGTATGTTGTGTACTGTGTCTACATGTCAAACATTCAGGATGAACAAATTGTACAAATGCTAACATCTCAGCACGTGGTGTGGTGCCAAGTCAAACCAGATACTCGCAGCGCGAGTCCAAATGCCGCTCCAGCAGACCATGTTCAAAGAGCCAGAATATTGATATTGACTTTAAACCCTGTTTATATTTGCAGCTGAATCAATTATTAGGAGTGTAATCAATACTTTTTAGTCTACCATCACAGTAATCTATAGTCCTCTGCCACTTTCTTATAGATTACCAGTAAGTGCTCTCCAAAGTAGCTTTTCATTTCCCGTCTATTTGTGGTCTGAGTTGACGCGTGTATAATTCTCTAGCAGATCTGTTGGCCACACTGGTCGGTATGGTGCAGTCATGAGACCATGATTAGTACCTTCAAAACAGTTGGCTTCATGTTCTGGTGGTTCTTTAGTTGTGTTTTTTTTTTTTTTTTTTGGTAAAATGAGTCCAAACCCTCTACTTTTTTTACTTGCTTGAAAACTCAGTCAAATACCAGGCTCTTTTTTTTTTTTTTATATTTCATTGGCTCTTCGTTTCTGACTTAATATTTAAAAGATAATTGACATTGTTAAAGGTTTTCCTTCTTTCCCTGGCTGCTGCTGGAAAACAGCACACTTTTACATGTTCGAGCTACGACTGATTTTGAACAGGACAAATAAACGGCAAATTGGACTTAACTGTTTTTCTCAGAACAAGGTCACATCATGTCCCTTCAACAGAAATACAGCGCAGATAAGCATTTAGGAAACAGACGTTTGGACAATGTGATACTAGTCAGACATCAGTCAGCTTTGAAGATCCCATCAAGTAAACATAACCTGCTCTTTTGTAGACTTGCTGACAGTTAATCAGGCACAAGAGCTTAAAGAAGGTTTTAAAAAAACTTTTGGGTGATTAAAATTTTGCATCTTCTGTGCTGCAGAGTTGGTGTCCTGGAGGATGACTTCACTTGCCTGGGGATCCTTTGTGCCATCTTCTTCTTCCCCCTGGGTATCCTCTTCTGCTTTGCGCTGCGTCAGAGAAGGTGTCCCAACTGTGGCGCCACCTTCGGCTAGAGGGACCAAGCCACAGCTCACGTGTGTGTGTGTGTGTGTGTGTTCCCATACATACACACAAACTCACATACAGCTACAGACATAATCCAGCATTTTTGTCTTTTGTTTCTTTTCTTAATATTGCACATTGCTGTTGCCATTATGTTAATGCACAACGGGTGATTAAGATATTATACGAGATGCTATTAGAGGCACGTAAAAATCTATTTTGATCTGCTTGTTGAGGATATATTCTAGCATGTGTAAGTGTTGAGCGTTTGTCAGTGCCTTCACTACATGCTGAGTGGTATTCAAAGATTCCATCTGGATTTTTTTTTTTTTTTTTTTGTAGATTTAGCTCAGTTGTCAAAGGATATAAGCAAATTCCTTCCTGTTTTGTCAAGCCAGAATCAAACCACATGTAATTTTTTTTTTAATTAACACTGTGCTTGGTAACTTAGCAACAGCATCCTGTAGATGTATTTGATTTTTCAGGAAATTCAAACTTTTTTTTTTTTTTTTTTTGGCTGTGTACGTCACATGGAATAACACGGCATGTTTAAAAACTGTTGTGTAAGGAACGCTGGACATGAACTGTCTGTCAAACTATGGACTCGTCAGACAAAGTCTGCAGCATTTTCTCTGTTTTTGTTGATATTAGTTCATGGGGCCATATTTGCACTGAACATTTGTTTGATTATTCTGCTGGGTTGTGCTTTTCCAGGGCCAATGCAGACCTCAGGTACAATATATACAATCTGAAACGCCCTCGACTTTACAACCTCAGTCACTGTTCGACTTCCTACTTTAAGAGGAACAAGTGCAGACTCTTCCTTTCATGGTTGGAGTGTCACTTCAAAGAAGCATGCTGAGAGCAAACGCTGAAGAAATCTATGTGTATACTCTCTGGATTTTTATCTTAGTACTCTGTGACAAGTCACCCTGCCCCATTTGTTCCAGCCAGACAATCGATCAAGAATGTCTTTGTCCCTGTATCTGCAGTGTTTCCATGTCAGTCTTCCATCACTGCAACATGTTATATAACCATCTGTGGCAGAAGAAAGAAATATAACTGAGTGGGAGTAATAACAAAAATCTTCTTGCTTTAGAGAACACACTACGCACGCTTACTGTATATGATTGAGGTTCTTACTTTTATATCAGTTACTGTAATTAAAAATGAATGCTACTTAAGGGCTTGACCGCTTCTTTGATCTGATTTTCACACAGCGCCTGTAAATGAGCTGAAATATACTGTTACTTTTGATATAAACAAAGGAATGCATGACAAGCTAAAATTGAAGAAATCTTTATTTTTCATACAGAAGTTTTATTAAAGGTGCAATGTGGACCAGAGATGACCAAAAAAAAAAAAGCCTGGTCTTAAAATGCCATGTGTAATGATTAAAGCAGAACCGATTGCACTGTATATGTGAAGATGAGGTGATTGTCATAACTCATGTCCACAGGTAAATAATTTACAGTTGGTACCGTTATGTGTCATAAAGGCAAAGGTCTCTCCACTATCATCTAGCTCTACAGAAAGTGAAGTTAGTTGGTAACGGACAATATTCATAGCATTTATACAAATTAATCTACAAGACAGAATGAAGGATAAAGATCACGTGTTTGTGTTTTTGGATCCATCTCTTTAAATGCTTGAATTATTTTTCTCCTCATGACAAAGAAAAGCACTTTAGCATTGACACTGAGTTGCACCTTTTGTAAAGACCTGCAGGTGAAGTACAGAGGTCCTCTACAGTACATTCTTCTACTGTCCTATGGCAACAAAAAAAAAAAAAGATTTTTTATGATTAACAAGAAACAGTATAAATACATTGCAACATTTTCTTTTGACCATCTATTTCTTAAGTCCAGGTAAGTTTGTGGTCTTTTAAATAAAAACACAAAGAGAAGGAAAAAATAGACTTAGAAAATATATCTTAAATATGAGCATCTGTTCTGTAAATAAAATGGTCCCAAAATACTTCCATACGGGAGTTTGCAGCAGTAAGGGGATCCCACATTCAAGTGTCTTTTTTTTTTTTCCTTAGTGCTGGGTCATGTTTTGTTTGGTTTCAGCCAGGAGACGATGCAGGACTACAGGCAGGGTAGAGTAGCACATCATGGGTAGATGACAGGAAGGTTGGTGAGTGGAAAATGTGGACAGATCAGATGACTGGTGCAGAGCGGTCATTGGTGACGGTTGGACGTAGCCTGACTGTGGAGAACGGGTTTCCTCCCCTGTGGAAATGCACCAAAGATGAGTGAAGGACAGAAAGAAAAGCAGATCATCTTGTTCACTGTTCTTATGTGACTTACACCAGGTAAGCAGGTGTAGGTCTCGAGATGCCATTAGGCTGGGCTGCCTGCGGAGAAAACACAGATACAACATTACTCTCCGAGTCACAAGGTCAACACTTGCTGTAATACAGGTCTATTGCACAGTACAAAACCATGACACATTTGCACTATGAATACCTGAATCATCCCATCTTTTACCATGTTTTGTGCATTTATGTCTGACGTGAAGCATCACCTCACACCCAACACACAAACACACCACGCTACAGAAGGATTGGACACTAGATGAACGGATGAATGAGCGAAAGTGTGGGAAAGACGACGTGCTGTGTCATGTCACGAGACAGCATGTGGAATGTGGACCTTCTGGAAATTCATGCCTGTTCCACAATCAGTGTCACTGTCTATGAATACAGATCACTTAGAATCACTTCAACTTAGAATGTCAGCAGTTTCCACCGTTATTTTTACAGATGCATATAGAATGGTCATCCGATCTGCAGCCTTAATTAAATGCCCTTCAAATTATTCTAATCACCACATGTACTTTCTAGGCTTTGGTTACACCTTGGTGACTACTGCATGTACAGTATGACACCACCAGTGGGGTGACAAACTGAGCACATGTACAGTGTACCTGAACCTGAACTGCACACACAAGAGGACAGACTGTGGGTTGTGGAGTTCTGTGAATCACTCCCTGTTTAGTACATTTACTGTCCCACTTTGAGATTCAAACACTGGGAAAACATCCACAACTGAACAAAAAAATGTGGGCACATATGACAATGTCTCAATTTACTGTTCCCTATAGAAGAAACCACTTAGTCAATTATGTGAAAAGCGGAGAGTGAGTGAATAAGGGACTGTTTTGTTAATCTTCATAGCAGCAGTGCCCAAGATTAATGTGCCTTCCGACCTGCAGTACTGCAAAGATTCCACAAGAGGCCAGGAGTGGATAAAGTGCCCGATGTTGCAGTCCAGTGTTACAACCTAGGAACATCCCCATTCACTGTGACTATTACTTCCCACAGGACACAGACAATTTCACATCTGTCCTCCTCTTACAGATGTTTGGACTACAAATCATGGGCACCAGAATGTTTCAAACCGAGTATCAACAGGTAGAAAAGTCTCTTCTTCCCTTTTCACTGATGCTCAACTTGGAAGTCAAAACTGTGACTGCTTCTTTCATTTTCACTGTAAATCTCAGTTTCTCAGATCCCCCCCTCTCTCTCATTCTCTATTCATTCCTGTGAGTCGTCACCTCTGCTGCCACACAAAGCACAAAACCAGTGAGGTCACATTTTTGTTGACAGTGCATGATATCCCCACCACCCCCAGCCGTCCTGTTTCCTCCCCCCTTTCCCAAACCAGCACACCTGAAAAAAGCCTCTGTTGATACAGGCTTCAATTAGCATGACAATACCAAGAAACTAAAAATGTATGTGGAAATGGTACTGTGAGACTGCAGATGTTCAGCTTCATGTTTATTATAATTAAAAAAAAAAAAAACAAGCAGAATCATCAACTAATGATGGAAAAAATAACAGGAAGAAGAGTTAAACAAATTTGGGAAAATGAAATTTACTTTCTCTCTTGCTTGTTTACACCTCTCTCTCTTGCTTGTTTACACCTCTTAATGCACTAAAAACAAGCACTCTTCCAATTGCCCATAATTTTTCAAGAGCTAATTACCTGAAAAACACATAAACCAGTGCAGCACTCGCCAATAATTTTCAGCACAATTGCAGCCACAAGTCACTAAGTAACCCAGCACATGCATAAATACAGTATTTGCACATACCAACACAACCTCAGCCGCCTACTCGTACACTCAGCTGAACATAAACTGGAGCATTATAGTCTACAGTAGCTGTAGAGAACTTTTTCCCACATGCAAGTCTATTCTGGGATCGGCATGTGGACAGAGAGAGAGCTGTGTGTTGAAGGAGCAGGGACAGTTGTTCAAATGTGGAGACAAACAACGTTGAAAGAACCTGAAAGAATGAAAAGAGTGTGACAAAGAGGAAATGTGGGTATTAGGTTCACCCAGAGTGGAATTCCACCATGATGCCGAGCCAGTGGGAAAAGAGACATACAGTAGGTGGGATGTAGACGGAGGTCTGACAGAGGACGGACACACAAACAAGCACGATTATCATTGGCCCTACTATTGTATGTCTGTGTGTGGCTATGGTAAATAATGAATCAGCAGAATGTGTTTGGTCTTATGTGACCAACTTCACTGTTTTACCTAAATCTTCCATGTATACGACAGGATTGAATATGTCCAGCAAAACAGTGATTGGCCATTTATTCTACTATATTAGTTCCAGTCCATATGTTAAGTTAATCTAGAGGAAATGAATGTAAATCAGTGGGATGTGCAGCACAAAGCTTTAATCTGTTAGGGATGAAAACAGAGTTAATGACACCGTAGCCTACTTGTAGCTGTGTATGATTAACTGGATGGAGCCATTTGACTGGTTACAAGATGTAGAAGACATCACACACGGTCAAGTGAATAGGTGCATGTCAGCATGTTTTTTTTTAAATATTTCAAAATGAAAAACAGACATATGCAAAGTCCACCATTTATCAAAAAAAAATATTAAGAGGTAGTCATGAAAAGCAGCATCGGTGTGTTGACGTGCAGAGTGTGCAGGTGATTCTACAGTCAGGACAAGCACATTTAACCCTGACCTACCGCAACACATTTACATTAATCCAGCAAAGGGAAACTAAAACAGCCTTCATAGAGGGAAACCACAAATTTGGCTGAGACTTTACATTTGCATTGCTATGTAAATGGACACAACATTGAAATGGCTATAGCCACTCTGTGTTGGGTTGGGAGATGTTAACATTTGTGAGCATAGGCATATTTTACAACCATCTGCATCTTTCAACATTATATTAGGAGAGAAGACAGTTTGTGCTCTGCCTGAGACTTCAGTCACGCAGACTGGCCCAGACTGTTCTCATGTCTATACCAGTGTCACTGCCTCACACTGGAGCAGAGTTTCCAGGAGACCTATTATCAGCACACTGGGAATAACTGTAACAAAGGTGATCTTCTTTACAGCTGCGCCCTACTTGGCCTGTGTCTTCATCCCCGACAGGTGTTTAGAGTAGTAGACTTTTTAACACACTTGTAAACATTTTATTCACAGAAAAAAAAAAAACACAGTCTCTCTGCCAAGTCTCAACCTGATGAGTTGGGAGGGACCCAAAATGCCTGGTGTAGCTTGTCAGTAGGTCAACAGACAGACATATTCCTACATGCATTAAGGCCAGTGGGCAATTTAAAGTTTCCAGTCCGATTGACTGGAATGAATGAAAGCAATGCCTTTGCTGTCCTTCCTGTATCACATGAACCTCTCTGGAACATCATGTATCACTTCATGTTGAGGCAGGAAAACTCTTCCTAACGAGGCTACATCATCTTCTAAATAAAATAGGATGGAAATGTAAGTAGTGTTTGTGCAAGATGAAAATGAAAATACCCAGAATGAGCACATGTCAGTCTGTCAATGTGGCTCACTTCAGATAGCCATAATAGACGTACCAACTGCAAACTCAGTGTTAAACTGTCCCTAAATCCCAGCTGACACAGAGTGTATCTGTGTGGTCAGGCCTTCGGTGCAGACTTAAAAAGCTCATGTAATGCCACCTCACGGGGACTTTACACTGACGTAAGTTACTCACCCTAAGCTTAACCATCACATCTAATGCATAGCCACAACCTGAACCTAAATCAAATTCTAACTTCATCCCTAAAACCAACTTTTAACTCTCAAAAAGCCCTCTGAAGTTTTCACAGTGATGACAACAACACATACAGGTACAGTTTTCAACAGTCAAGTTAAGGCTTCAGTTTCAGTAGCAGCAGTATGGCAGTGGAATAGTGGGTTAAGCAAGGGAAGTACATATAGCACAGTGCGTAGCACATTTCATTCACGCAGACATCCGAGAACAATAATGGTGTGATTTGAGTAATGGGGGGCCTGTGCCCCAGTAGACCTTTACATCTAGCAACACTGTCTTAAATGTATTAGATGTCAGATGAAAGGACATAAACCAAATCACAAGCTCGCTGACTGACCGTATTGGGATCAGACGAGGAGGAGGAGGCTGCAGAGGGCGTGGGAGAGTGCTTGTGGTTATTTGTGGTGACGGTGCTGGTGGTTGTATTGTTGTTGATGCCGTTGCGCTGTGGGTTGTTGGTGTAGTCTGCCGGAGGGAGCACCATGGTCGCCTCGTCCGTCTCCGTGTCCTGATGGTGCAGGTTGACCACGCTCCTGCTACGGTATGGTGCAGCAGACACACTGCAGGACGAGGAGGGATGAAATGAAAGATGAGGGTACAGGGGTGGAACAAAAAGAGAGCACAGGTATAAGGAGGAAATGAAAGGATAAAAACAGAATGGAAGGAGAAAAATGAGGGGAGATGACAGTAAAATGGGGAAGGGAAAGGCCACTTAATCCAACTAATTGCATGACTTCACATGAATCTCCTGGCATGAGCGTGTGCTTCTGTATTTATGCCTTCAAGGGCTTTATCTTAAACCTAGGGTTACTGATTAGATTAAGGCTAATCTTAAAGTTGGGCATACAGGCCTGATGTTAAGATTATGAGATACAGATAAATATGGTTAGTGGAAGTTCATCATAAGGACAAAAGGACACGGATGCACGTGTGCTGCTGTGTCCCCCAGCGCTGTAAATAGTTTAAAGTTTAATTTTCCATGGTAGCAGTTGGCCGGCAGCCTCTATGTGGGAGGTGCGGCATGTTAAAATCTAATAAATTAATCCGACAGGGATTAGTCTCTTTGAAGAAAAGCCTGGAGTGGACTCTGTAAACCTTCTCTCTCATCAGCAGCAAATTCCATTCATCAGCACTAAACATCCTGTTTCCGGATGTTTGGCTGGGTTTGTGTGAAAAGTTCAATTTTAGATTCATTTCAGTTACACAGATTTGACAGTTATACAATCTGTATATGAGCAAAGAACACTTATCAGGGTCTAGGGATTCTAAAAAGACTATACAGCATCACTGCTTTAATCGATGTCTTTTCCCCTCACGCTGTAGAACATAACGTTTAAAAACTGAAAAACCCAAAGCAGAATGTGACTTAAACACAACAGGAATCAAAGGTTGAGGAAAGGAAGAGTCCCCAATAGGATTAGAAAGGTTATCGCTGTAGAAGGAGTAACTAGAGGAAACACTGCCAACAACACAACTGGCTGCAACATGAAACCTGCTGGTGAGTGTGTGTGTGTGTGTGTGTGTGTGTGCTGGCTGAAATGTGGAGTCTCCTTACTTATTGTCATTCACGAGTGGCTCCGAGAGTGCACGGCAGTAAGATGAAGGGAACCAGCCCCTCCTGCAAGAAAGAGAGAAGCCCAGTTAGAGATGATCGTATCTGTGGTATATCTGTACCGCCAGCCTCGTTGTCAGCTCTCATTGCACAGCAGTCATTTAGATTGCTTTATCATCATTTAGGGCTTTGCTGCTCTGCCCTCTATTCAATAGATCCTCCATCTTTTAACCACAAGAAACAAAAACAAAGAAACGGGAGAGAGAGACTGTTATAGATAAGCTTCTTCCCCCCCCTCCACTCTGAATATTGTTGAAATATAGAGCTATTATACACTCATCGGCCACTTTATTATTAGGTACAACCGTATGCAATTACAAGACTTCTGCCTTAACATCTGTTTTTATGAAGCTCTAAATATTTCTGTTTTTGGTGAAACTGTCATAAATGTATAAATTCAAATATATATTTATAATTGAAGTCATAGTTAAAGGTGGGGTTGTACTGGACTACATTATATTCAGAGGTGTTCCTAATATTCTGAGCCTTTCATGTATGTAGCTGGGGAGGACAAAAATACAGAGACACCTCTAAATATAATGTAGCCCCTACTGCTGTGCACACTTTAGTAACTATGCTAGCAAGAGGAAAAAACACATTCATTGGAGAAAAGACTTCCTGATGAATGGATGCCTCTGATTTCTCAGCAGAGATAATCAAAGGGCGATGCTTCAAATGCCTTCTCCCTTTATTTTGTCTTCAAATCTTCCCTGCTGATAGGAGCCTCAGTATTTTCCAGCTTTTCTATGGTCCTGCGGTCAAGGTCGCATCTCAAACCCGCTGAGCTGATGCACAATTACATGTGCAACTCGAATTAATGTTTGTCCAATAAATGAGTCGGACCAATGAGGAGCCCAGTGGCCACAGTAAGAGGAATCATGCAGCCTGTTGGTTCCTGCCCACACACATACACCAAAGTAAACTTTATTTCATTATGGATTTGAGAAACATAGTGAGAACAGCATGATGAAGCCAGTCAAATGATTAAATCTTACAAAAAATAAATCTTTAGTTTAGCAAAAAAAAAAAATTTAGTTCACCTTGGAAACACATTTAAAGGAATTTATGAGGGTGAAAATCTTTAGAGGACAATGAGTCACAGCTAGTATCACAAGCTCAGGCCAAGGACTGTTTGTCTTTGTGCCGTTAGGGTACAAGATTGTTCATAATCTCTGTGTAGCCAGTCAGACTTTTTGATAAATGTTGATAAATGTTAATATCTGCACATTTGGCCTGGAGACTAGGCTTTCCTTTGTGTACCTGCTATAAAAAGACTCAAGCTTGACTGGAAAATACACCTCACTCAGTCACAGATGCTTGTTTCCAGCATAAATGTTAATGCTGGCCACTGAACAGGCTGAATGAAATAACCTGACATTAATAAAAACTTAGACGATAAGACAGTGCATACAAGTTAGTTTCCATTAATTGCTGCTGTGCTGTATTATGTATTACGAGTTTGTTTTTCACTCAGTATGATTCAAATGTATCTTGTTGACACAGAGTCCTCAGTCCATCAATACTGTGTGTGGGTATCTCCACCAGTCTAGGTGTTGCCAGGCGAGTTGCTTGGATACACTATCAAAGCTGGTATAAGACAAAAAGATAAACCCAGCGAGAAACCCAAATGTAACAAAGTCAAGCCTCCTGTCGGACATGAAGCCTCTGGTCACATGCTGTACTCTGACCAACCTGATATACACTTTTAAGCCACTGGACACTTTAGCTTGCCACATTTGCAACAATGAGGCACCAAGACCGCAGTTTTACTTTTGAAAGCAATTCAAAAATCATTCCTTTCTGCGCTTGATCAACTTTTTTGGATATATTTGCCAGGTAATTTCCCTTGATAGTGATACAGATCAAACCTGATGAATGATTATAATTCAAAAACACACTTACAAGGGCTTCAGATCAAAGCTCTGTTTAAAAAGTCAGACATCAGAGACCTGAGGAGGGCAGGCTTGGTTGGTGCCTATCTGTGTAGGAGAGCAAATGGTACTGTGAACTTCACTCTGTCTCACTCCACTTGTACATCCCACCCTCAGGACATACTTTACTCTGATTTCCTTATCAGCGAGTGTTCCAGCTTAGGCGGCACTCAACGAGCCTAGAGCTGTGTGCGTGCATGTACATGGCTGGCATGACAATCGGGCAAGGGACCATCTGGCCAGTAAGGACAGCACAGTCCAATCTATATCAATCACATTACAGGTAGGAGGATGGAGGAACATGATGGGCATGTTTTAACCTCTAGAGTCCCTGCGTCCTCATATGAGGACCGCACAGCTTGGGTTTCCAAAGCTCAGGACTCTAGAGGTTAAATAACTGGTTATACTGTAAGGCCATAATGAGCTAAATGACAGCAAATTCACACATTGGATGGAATCATTTCTTGTGAAGTAGCTTAGGTATATACACATGCATGTGCACATACCTTTCCTGATTTGTGTAACTATATTCTTTGGTATCACAAATCCGTTCCAGACAAGTGCAACATGTGTGAATTGACTCACTTTCCAGTCTTTTCCAGTTCGCCGTACATCCACCCGTCTCTCTCGTCAGGAATGAGCAGGATGATAACATCTCCCTCGTCAAAGCTGAGCAGTGTGGTGTTGTTGCCGGCATTGTGGGGAAAGATGGTGCGCACACGTGGCCTCTTCACCACATTATTGAGGCCTGCTGCAACAGACACAGACCTGCCAAGACTGTTGTCCTCACTGTTCCTATGGTCTGGAAGGAATTAAGGAAGACAGGTACAGATGAAGAAGAAAAATAACTACCATTTAATGGAAAACATCTATTTTTACAAGCATTTTACCCTGAGAAGTGCAGCAAAACTGCATTAAAAACATCCAAATCCAGACCCAAGTGAAGCAGACACTTCTGTCCCAGGCAGGATAACGACACTCACATTTCAGGAACAGATGGTTTTTGCACTACACTTGCTTTCTTGAAAAGCACAAATCTGAAGCTACAACACAGAGGAAGATGCCACATACAAACCAATGCCATACTCATAATACCTATGCTGTTGTTGGTAGTGTTGACTGCACTGGTAGTGTTGTTCTCCTGGGTGAACATGTTAGCCAGAGGGCTGATCTGAGCCTTCAGAGGTGGAGCCGGGGGAGCAGTCATGCTCTGTCACACGAACATTGTTTATAATGTTAACATGCTGGTAACTGTGCAGGTCTAATACCACTACTGCAGTTTAAACAAATCAAAATTGATTGTGATGGTAGCAGCCTCAAAAAAAGCTGAGCACAAACCTCTAAAGCATATTTAGCAAGGTGCATGGAATTACAGTAGTCTAAGCTGTAGACAAAGGCATTCTAAGTAGAGTTATATTAATGTGAATATTAAGCTACATCGTGCTTAACAAATGTAATTTATACACGCATCATCTTAAATATGATCAAATACTGTATTTCACTTGTCTTAGCATGCAAGGTTCTTACATCAACTCCCCAGAACTTTCTCATCAATAATTTGCCAATAAAAGAGAAAATGCAATTTGAAATACAGCAGCAACCTACTACACAAAGATTTTGTCTTTATTTCAGCCCTCATCGTACCAGGCTGCGCTGTGACGGGGAGGGAGAGGGCATCGGTGTGATGGAGACGGGCACACGCAGTCCCTCGATCATTGACAACATGCTCTCAGGAATGTTGGTGGCATCGTTGCACTGGTCCTGCCAGTTGCTCAGCTTTGCCGTCAGAATGTCTCTGGCCTGTCCAGCATGAGTTGACATAAGATATTAAAAGAAAACATGAGTAGGAACAGTCCACGCATTTTCATTGCTATGGTAACAAAATGTATTGTGGGTTTTGGTTCGTGGTTTGATTAAATTCAGAACTTGCAAGTTTTCTCTGTCAATTACAGTCATGATGTTCTGGTGGGACAGTTAAAAATCTCGATGACATTTTTGGACCATGTCATATGAACGCCATGTTAAGGCTAACAAAAAAATGATTTTCACCACCACTGTACCTTAGTATGTAAAGTGTTTAGTCAAGAAAAGCAAAATGTGCTGCTCCATTCCAGCACAAAGAGGAGCAGGTGTGTCTTCTACCTTGTCATGGAAGGAAGCGAACTGATAGGAGAACATGCAGTGTTTGTCCACCAGGAAGCAAAAGCGTCTCTTCTCCTCCAGGAGAGCCTCCTTACAGTTGTCTGCAATGAACAACTGCATGTCCATCTGACGATTTGTCAACGTTTCCAGGCACTGACAACGTAAACACATGCACACAGACAGGTAACACGTGAACATTATCCCAACCGCTTCACGTATACAACATATACAAGTTCCTGGTGTATGCACAGCTGCCAAAGCAAATATAATTAGTCTTTTTGAATTGATTGACTTGTTTTGCAGTCATTTTAAATTACAGCTTTATTTTTATAGCACTTATCCAAACAAAGTTAGTGCTTTATGTGATTAAAAAAAAATTAGGCAGTTAAGTCATACATTTTCAAACTTTAGAAAACCCCTCTAGATAAAAACTATAGACACAACAGTGGAAATTAAAACGCATAAGGTTAAACACAAGAACAGTATGCCATTTGATAAAGAACATTTTTAAAAGATTATTTTTAAGAAGTCATTTTAAAGGCGTCACTGATTCTGTAGGTTTCAGATTCTCTGACAGGGAGCTCCAGAGCTGTGGAGCCCTGACTGCAAAAACCTGGTCTCCTTTATTATTGAGCTGGGAAACAGCCCTGCTCATGTCCTGCCTGTAAATCGGAGGCATGTGGGGGAGCAATAGGAACCAGACCATTAGGTGATTTAAAGGTAATCAGTAAAGTCTTAAAATCAATAGTAGAGCTGACTGGTAACCAGTGAAGAAAGGCCAAAACGGAGCCAATATGATCGTCTCTGCTAGCATTTATTCCAACTGAAAGGTGTGAGATCATGTTTGGCTCAACCCTGAATACAACAAATTACTCTGACAGAGGCAATATAAAAGCACGTACAATAACCTTCTCAGGTTCCAGTTGAGGGGGAAAAAGATTTTTTTAAAGGCTCCTCAGCTGATAAAAACATAACTGAATGACTTTTGTAAATCGTTTACCAAACATCAAATATAAACACCCAGGTTTCTGGTTTAAGGCCTTGTAGACAGGCGGCCAAGATATCTGTGTGTGTATATCTTTGACAGGACATCATGTTATTTTATCATCCTATGCAGATGGTTTGCAGCCCTCTAGTCCCTTTCATGACTGATCTATACACAAGTGCTATAAAGCCACAGGGTTCCTTTCTGAAAATCCTAATCTACCTCTTGCAGGGGGTGGGTTTTATTGACTAGTGTGATGGCAGATTGGGCTGCATTTAGTGTTCAGTGAAAGGAGGAAGAGAGATGGGGCACAGCAGTCAGAGGCAGGGTCTATCTTATCTACACCACCAGTCTGGGAAAAGGGCAGAAGGCTACTTAATGGGCCTTGTTTGTTTATATGCTGCTGTGTTTGTAAAAGAGAATTCACACCATCTCTCTGAAATTACTTAATTTTCAGTTATCTTTTTTAAAATGTTTAATTAAACTTAGTTCACCATGTTTATTATTTTGTTCTGTTTGATTTTAATTTGGGCACCAAGAATGAAGTATGCTTCATTCAGACTAATTTATTACATTATTAATATAGTGTTAATACAAGATTATTACCAGGCTTCTGGAGTACTGGTGTTACCAGCTCGTATTAAATCTATGGATATGAACTGGGTCATAAAATGCATTTGTAGGATTTTCTAACCATATAGAAGCTAGTGACAAAAGCACAGCAACTCCCCTAGAGGTGATGTCATCGTTGTCCAAACAGTGCCGTGCGTCTATCTGACCAAATGAGAATCTGTTGCTCTGCCCGTCTGTCTAATGTCAGGAAGTCCTTACACACACCTGTCCACTTAGATCTTGCTCAATACCTGAAGCAAACATATACCAGGTATTTGGAAACCCCTTGGACATCCCACACTTTTACCATATTCAGTTTATGTTTAATTTAATACAACAGGCAAAGTTGTGCCAGAACCTTCTGCTGCATTTTAAATCACACATAATGTTAACTGACTTTTATGTTTGTCAGAATACATCTAAAGTACATTGTATGGTACAGTTCTGCTTTGTCGACTTCCAGAAAGCATTTGATAGGATTATTGTGTATATTAAAAGACAGTGATGTTAACGTTAAATAACAGACTCATCAACTTCATGTGTAACAATGATAAAACTGAAGGAAAAAAACTAAAACTGTAGAGTGAGGCAAAGATGCCCCATTTTCTTCAACATCTATATGAAGTTACTTCTGCTTCAAACAGATTATGAAATTATCTGTTTGACATAATACTGGGTTTATAACAGAACAACTGATTATCACCATGAAACAGCGGCGACACTAGATCTCCAAATATTTGCATTCATTTAGCTAATTGAGATGTTCAATCTGGCAACTCTAATTTTATTACTGCCCCTGAAATTATTACTCAAACGTAACATGTGCATTTGAAGAACTTTAATTCCATTTATCTATTTTTGTGTTTTGTTTTGGCAAAATTACCATTGCCTTTCGTGCCAATAAACATAATGTGAATCGAACAGAATTAATGGAGAGAGTAAACACCTTTGCAGAACTGTAGAAGTGGGCAGCATAATATACTAACAAGTGGATGAGGAAAAAAGAGAGAGTGTGAAATGCCATTATGACACACACAAATGCACACACGCCTTCTTAATCACTCTACGTCTGTCAACACTGCAGCAAGCCTTTTGCTATGAACAACATAAGCTTACCCAATAATTCACAATTTTCCCCGTTTGACACATAAGAGCCTCGATACATATCTCAGTCGTTGTTAGTCTTGTTTACAGAGTGTAAAACCCATTTCTGGAGTCTTTTAATGAGTTGTTTGACAGCTCCCACAGCTCTCCCACTTTAGACTATTTACTATTTCTATACTTTCTCATGGATCATTTCCAGGCTTCCCTGTGTGGTGAATCATCTCCTGCTGTAAGCTCCTATCACCCTGTCTGTCTGTCTGTCTGTCTGCTGACCATTCTCTGTGTCTATCGGGTGTCTAAATCCAAATACCTGCCCTTAAATCAGGTGAGTGAACACTGAGTAATGGCTTGGTGGGAAGGAGAGTGGTGAGAAGCAAAGAGGAAACAAAGGAAGGAGGGATGAAGATAATGGAAAAGTGTTAGGAGTGTAAAGGAGAAACAATAAAATAGAGAAAGACAAGAAATAACTATAATAATTATACTAACAGCTGGTTTGTAAAAGATCATTTCAGTTCCTCAAACACATTTATAAATAAGTGAGTTTATGCTAAAAAGCTAACATTTAGCTAACTAGCTTTTTTTTATTATCAAGTAATTTTCTGGTTACCATTTAGATTCAATGATTAATCATCAATAATGAAAAAATTGACAATATTGTGAAAAAATATCCACCAGCTAAAGATATTTGGTCTATTATGATAAAACTGAAACTGGAGAATGTTTGGCTTGGTTTCACAGTTGCTGCTTTACAAATAACTAAAATAAAAAAGATTATCAAAATAGTTTATTTTTCTGTCAATCAGATAATTAACTGGTCAAATGACTAACTGCTTCAGCTCTAGTTCATAGCATTCTTACTCTCAAGGACCCTGCTCAGCAAGTTACATAAACACCACAGATGTTGTGACTATTATGCAAAGTGGTCTGGGGTATGATAACCCAGAGTCTATACTGAAGGTTAAAGCTGCAGTAAACTTAAGGCAGTGATGGTAGTGCACTCACTGGGCGTCTCCCTTTACTTCTCTGTCACTTGTAAATGTGTGATCAGTGGGGCCATTGCCTCCAGCAGGCTGGGGTGGGGTAGACTGTGCTGACAGAATACAGTTAGATAACACCTGAGGCTGCTGTGCTCTCAGGGTTGCAAACTCATTTGCAATTTTCGGGTGTGGTAGCACCTTGTAAGAATGTAACCTGGGTATAAACACTTAATATTCCATAGTGATTGACTGTGAACACTTAGGTTAAACCAGTATGGAACATGCATGATATGATAACAGACCGATGGCCAGAATTAGGAGGAAATACAAAAATTCGTCCAAAGGTTTCTAGCACCTCAAGGCCTGTGTACATTTGGCTATCGAGCTATGGTGCTACAAACATCCAGTAAGTTCAGAACATACAGTATTACAGTGTAGTCCTTTTCTAGGGATCTGACATGCACTGCCAACCAAGCACACTATAAACCTAAACAGGGATATCAAGGTTAGGCTGATAAAGTTCTATATTAAACAAACACACCTCCGAGGTTCAAATGGATAAATACTTCCACATCTATGAGTTTGACACGAGTGTTGCTGTGAATGCAACTGACCGCTGTAGCATCTGTTCTACAGTTTTCCATGCAAACAGTATGTTCATAATCAGATGACTGGCAGCCATTAAGTGTGGACAGGATGCAGCACTTGTGTGCACAGTCTGTGCAGATGATTGCATGGAGTGGAAAGTAGTTTATAGTCAGGTTTCAACTTTCTTATCAGTGTGCATGCAGGTGGAGCAAGATAGTGCAAGAAAGTGCATGTGGGTTTATTCAGCAACAACAGATCTTCTCCTGTGTGACTGCATAGACCAGACACTTCACACACTGTACCAGACTTCTGCTACATAGTGTGTCTCGGGTGTCCACGTTTTGAATGAAGGACTCAGGGGAATGATGCCTGTGCACATATGAACACACCTGTGTCAAAGGAAGAGCATTCATGTGCATGTCACATGTATATAGATGTTTAACATCCACCTCACCTCGCTCTCCTTGCTCTCGTACTTGTTGGCGTTCTTGCCTTGGCTCTTTCTCCTCAGTTTCTTCAGGTCTGACTGGGACCTCTCCAGACTGTCCTGCTTCATCTTGTGCTCTGTCTGGTACCTCTTAAATGTGGCCTGGAGCAGAGGAAAGATATATGTGAATGCTGGAACACAGGAAATATGCCAATTAGGAGAAATCAAAAGTGAATTTGCACTTTTAACTTTTTGACTCGCTCAATACTGATTAGCAATTTCAGTGGTTAAGTAATTTTTTAAAATAAAAAGTAATATAAGCCACTATAATGTATAGGGTAAAATGTTTGTTTATACATGTTGTACTGCAGCAGTACCTCCCATTAGGACACAATGAATTGCTGCAGTAGATTAGACTATGCTTACAGTGTAAATGAAACTGCAATGTCTGAAATAAAACACTAACAAAGTGTATCTTTATATGGAGGTGTGTTTTCATGAGGAAGATGGATGGAGTGCTGCTGCCACAGAACAAAACACACTACTCACTGTCATGTATTTGACATCCATTTCAGTCTTTTTCTCCAGCTCGGTTATTATCTCCCTGTGGAACCTCTTAAACTTCAGGTGAGGAGGAGGAGGGACAAGAGAGAGCAGAGGGGAAGAAGACACAGTGGTGATTAGAAACCTAATGGGAGGATGGAGAGCTACAGTTTGTCAGCAGTAATCAGGGGAAATATTGTAAAGAGAGAAATGGAAAGTGACCATTTAGAGTGTATTGGTGCTTGCGTGTGGGGGTGAGAACCAAGTCCAAGGTTGTGCATATGAATGAGTCAGAAACAAAACGTGGGAATGCCCACAGGCTGCTCTCTCTTTCTCCCTTTCTCTTATTAGGGTGAGGGTGTCAAAGCGCTCTCATCACCGCAACTTTGTAGCGATGGAGCGTCAACACCCACATGGGTAGCTCAGTGGACTGAAAAACCCCGATGATCATGGAGAACTTGCTGCTCACTCAGCGCACACCCTTGTTAAAGTCTGCCCAAGGTTTTCTTCCATCATTTTCTCTGACCTGAACCGATGCTGTGACTCACCAGCTGGAGTCCATTAACTAGTCAACCCACCCACTGAAGCTGTTAGCAACAATGTCTCAGAGGAGACATTGTAACTTTTCTGTTCAGCTACAACAGGTTCTTCTCAAACTCAGGAATTATTTTCTCAAGCACTAAACCCATGCAACATTTTTAGAATAAAAAAAATGGATACCATGTTATGAGCTACTAAAATTTCCAACAGTGTAAAAATGACAATTATTATAATGTGGTACTGAAACAATTTATAAAAAAAAAAACTTAAAAATGAATGTGAAATAAGAGATGAATTAATAATGAAGATAATTATTTGTAGTGCTACATTAGCAGCCTAAGGTAGGCTGTACTTTCATAATGCATCAGATTTTAACAGCTCCAGCTGGTGTTTTCCTGGGCATGTTGACGCTTGCCCCCCGTTTCCAGCTCCTACAAACCAAACCTGTTTTCCTTCATCACCCAGCCTTTGTATTTTGCATGATGCAGTTGATGTGGGTGGGGGAGAGAAAGGAGAGGCAGCGTCTTTTTATCAAAAGGTGGGAAGAGGAGACAAAAAGCTAGCGGCTGACTGCACGTGCCACAAAATCGGGTGAACTGGAATTTGTCAACACATTCAGAGAGTGAGAGTGTTGGACAAAGTGGATTTGGGTGGGGCAACGCAGTCACAGAACAGCTAGGTTTTCACATGAATTTGACAAACGTGTACACAAGTGCATCAACATATCAAACACTCACATGTTCTTCCAGCTCAAAATAAACTTTCCTGTGGACCTCTGAGATTTCCATCAGCACTGCACCTGCCAGACAGAGAGAACAAGAGGAGGGAGGAAGAGGAACAATGTACAGGTTAATGTCTGACCACGAAACACAGGCCAGCAGTAATCCCCGTTTGACCTCGTTTGCTTTTTCCTCCCGTCTTTGCTGAACAAAACAGGTTATATTATCTAAAGATACTGGCAGTGTAGCACCAACGGTGTACTGTGCATTTACACACCATATTATACAACATAATACACAAACACACAGAGCACGAACTGTATATGAAAGAATGTATCGCGGTGAAATGACTCACGTCATATGCATCGTCAAAATCCAACAAAGGTCACTGGCTACAGATTATGCTAAAAAAGGACTTTCACTGAGATGAAAGAAGAAAAAATTAATACATGCGTCTGGACCAGAAGAACTGGACCACCTGCTGCTCAGCAAATCACAAAGAGCTCAGATGGCAGGCGACCACAAATTATAACTTTCTGTCTTTGCATGCTGCTCACAAAAGCAATCCAAGTAGGATTATATAGCACAAACATTAGGCAAGGAATTGTAATTAAATTTCCTATTGACCTGATTTTACAGTACAGGGCAGAGAAAAGTCAAAAGCATGCTTGAGTTGACAGGACTTTGGGAATCTTACAGAAGTGCTTCTCATGAATACAAACACACAAAATAAACTATGGTACAGAAACAAACCACCTATTGTAGCACCAGAAAGTTTCATGAATATGACTCACTGTGAAAATACATGGATAACAATATACAACACTATACTGTTTTATTTGTAGTAGTCAAAGAGCTTTCCAAGAGTACTAATTTAGTAGTAAACCCATGTGTAGCGGTTTTATGGAATACTACGAGCAGATGACCTTCAAGCTGACTTGTGTTTCTATCTAACATGTTGCCTGGATAGTGCCGTTCACACATTGAAATGGCTTCTGCATGTGTGTGTATGCTAGTCTGGTCCTTTGACAAATACAATTTTTAACACCTCTTAGATGACTAGTAAACATGGACAAACAACGTGTATGTGTGTGTGTGTGTGTGTGTGTGTGTGTGTGTGTGTGTCTCAACAATTCCAATACCTTGTCTTAGCACAGACAGAGGGGTCACTATATTACAGGAAGCAAAACAGAAAGGTGATGGAGAAACAGCAGCTGAAATGTGGCCCCAAGCTCAAGCTGTTCAAACACGTTTATTCCATTTTCAATCTTATAAAACACAAATAATCTGGAAAATTGTCTTGAGGGACACACTACAATACGTTGCTATTCCTACAGCAATTAACAATATAGAAAATGTCAGCTTGCACTGCAGCAGAGATGCAGAATACATGACAGAGCGAACAACTACTTTACCACCGAGTCATGACATCTTAAATGCTGTACAAGAGCAGGATGTAAATCAGAGTGGAAACTTGAGACTGCATGTTGACTTCTCCTGCACCAAGCTTTTCCCAAGTGAATTTATTTTCCTTATGCAGTAAACAAAAAGGGCAGCTGTAGACAGAGGTGTTAAAAGCATTGTAACTTTGATGCATTTTTAAAACAAATTTTCCACTGGACAGATGCAGTGGTTCTACTTCCAAGCTAATTTGTCTGTTATAAATGGAAAACCTGGACCCTCACAGAAAGGATGTGTTGCCAGGGAATGTAAACAACATATTTGTTAAGGGTTATAAATTCAGTAGACCAACAATGCAACAACTGCACTCATGTGAAAAGAAGCTGTCTACACAAACCTCAAAGAAAGGCTTTCTGTGACCTGTACATTCATCTGTATTTAAAAACTGCCCTTCCCAAATCTGTCTTTCCACACCTTTCCTTATGGCAAGGCTTTTTCACTCAGCACAAGTCAAACAGCTTTGGCAGTTAAAGGCCAACAAATTATCCCAGTAACTCTGCCCTTTGACAGAACGGGAGGAACAGGGAAGATGGGGGAGCAAAGGCTGGGATAAAGAGAAAGTGTGTTAATGAGGTGTATAGTGAGCCAGAAAAAGGTTAAGCAAGCACTGATAAAAAAGGAATGAAGGGTGTGAATAAAGGCTGGACACAGACAGAGACAAAAACCACAGAGAGAAAATGAGAAGGTGACCAAAAGGGTAGAAGCACATGATAGATAAGAAGAGCAGAGCATGTCCACCACACTATGCCAAAGGTCACTGAGACAAAAGTAAACCAGGGACTAATATGACTAACTGCCCAGGACTGAATGACCTTAAGGTCCCCTTATCTTACAGTGTAACATCCACAGGTGTGGTACTGAGTCAAACACCTGACAGACCGGTTCATATGCAGGGCACAAAAGAATTTAGTCATTATTATATCTGAATAATAAAATCAATGCAAATGTGTCAAGTTACTAATTGCAGTCTTTTTTTCCCCAGGAGCTCACACTCACTTATCGACTGTTGTCAGAGTCGGTGCAAAATGTTGCCGGGCAACAGGTGTGCTCGATGGATCAAGGCGTGAGGGCAGTAGTGTGCCATGATGTGGATATCACCAGAAGCAATCCACCGCCATTCGCTAACAAAACCAAACAGATCAACCCACACAATACAGAAAGGTTGCCTAAAGCCCTGTTTACCCAAGATGTAAAAGGAGCTGCAGTCACCACTTGGCACAGTTTTACATTAACTACTACAGAGGTGATATCTGTTACTCAAACACAAAAGGCAATATCTAGTAATTCAGCCAAACTGAGTGGGGAGTAAAGTGTCCACAGCATCCCTTTGTGCTTGTATGTCAGGCATTATGCAAACAGCATTATAACGAATAACAAGACAAGGCACCAGTTAATGTGAAACCCAAAAAACACCTATAATAAGAGCCAAATTTCCTTAGGGTACAGTCGTTCTGCTTTCATGACACTGTTTGGTCTTTGAACAGCATCATATATTAGATATAACTAATATAACTATTAGTTATATCTCTTCTTTGTCTCTGGTGAGGTGTAAATCAATCATCAAACAAATGTCACAGTCTGCTACGTCATCCTACGAGGAAAAAAAAAAAGTATTGTTCTCTCTCTTTTTCTTTCATAATCCATGATGCACAGATGGATGAGTCATACTTGTCTGTGGAAATGAAAAGACTCAGCCTTCCTATTATAAATGCACTCTGTGAAGAATGATTGCCTGATTTCAACAAATGCAACACTGAGAAACATTATCAAGTTCCACATGACAGATGCTCTGTGGCGCTCGTGGAGCAGAGATGAAGAAGAATAACTAAAAGGAAAATAAAGATAATGTAGTCAAGAGTTAGAGAACTGAAAGTTTGTAAAAAAAAAAAAAAAAAAAAATAGAAGGAAAAACCTTCCTCCTTTGAACATTTTTCTGATAGCATGCAAACTGGCCCACAGTTCTTCCACAGTTTTTACTGTGGGCAAAATAATCCTGGCGTTGGCGAGAGCCACGTGACAGACCCATGCAAACATGCTTGGATTATGTAAAGTGGGCCTGATGCTATTTGAACAGGCCAGGACCATCAAAGGACGATGCACCTCTATAAAGCTCTTTCTGCTGTAAAAGGACAAAACTGGATGAGATTAAATTCCCTGCAGACAACAAAATGCTGCACGCCGATGTTGTCTCACAGACTGTTCATGACCGACTTTTGGCAAAAAATGTGGGCTCCATGTCAGCGTTCTCTAAAGGTGTTTTAGTTTCAGCATCAGACTCAAAACAGCATGTCGTCCCTCTACTGTACTTCCTAGTCCTTTACGATCTTATTTCTTGCTCCTTGTTTGACCAGAGAACAAAACAAGTCAGATAACCTAGTGCATGAATGAAAGAACTGTTGACATTTGAACTCTGGCAGACGAGAAGGAGGGAGAGGAGGGGGAACTAAAGAAACAAGGTAGGAGGACAAGGTGCACCCGTCCTCCAAAGTCTCTCAAGAGTATCTGGTTTCTGGTTGGCTACACGTCACTGGAGCTTAGGTTTCTGATGAGGAAGACTCGGCATGTCCACAAGCCGGCTCAAAAGCAAGATACAGAGACTTTGTTATGGTCTAACAGCTAATGTCAAGGTGGATATCCTGATGGGTTACAGGAATGTGCATCACACAACGCAGTTACAATGCATTTAGGTTTACAGGCACAGTTTGTTAGATTAGATGACTGTGTGAGGTGTGTATGTAAATCACCCCCTGCTCTACATAATCCCCCATAATAACTCAGACCAAAGTGAACTGTTATGAGACCATGACGTCTCTGCCTGTCTCTCTCATACCGAGATTAGCGGTACAGGAGTGAATCCACAGGTCAGGGGTGAGTGTGACTCAGCCTTGATAAAATTAAAAGGACTTTTTTTTTAATTACTTTGATGGACACTGATACCAATCATGTTTATCTGTGCCCTCCCCTAATTTCATCTTTTCTTCCTATTACAGGAAGAACATTCCAATCTGAACTCGCCACAAGACGACATGAGGCCGCTCTGATTATGTTCCTCTTAAAGCAGCAGCTACTTTTGGATGCATGTGGACATTAAAATCCAAGTGAATATCAGTTTAAACTAATCTGCCTCCTTTAAATATCGGTGGTATTTTTTCGAAAGTCCTTCATTGTCCTTTGTCACCCCTAATCCAGAAGGCATTATAGTATGTTGTGACACGCCAGTGGGGCTTTCAGAAACTTGTGTACCAACACATTATGCAGCCTAGTCATGTCAACCCAGGGTGTTTCTGTCAAATGATTTTGTTTACATCTTCTACACTATAAGAAGCAATGTCTGCCTACAATGTGGGAAGATGACAACCCGGACACAGTCACATCCACAACCTGTATAAAACCTCATGTATTAATGTGATAAACAACCCAAAATATTTTGATTTTCTAATGACTATCAGCTGACTGTTAAAAACTTGGAGATATTTTCAGCATGAACTCCCAAAAACCCACTGAAACTTTCACCTCTGCAGTTTCCCTGCAGCATAATTCACTTCTCAATTGTCTATACAACATACATGCTGCAAACACTCAAGTCTTTGCAACAAAACAACTGTTTCCAACATGCTGAGCAGATGGAGGTGTGGAAAGCTGAGATGTGGACTTATAATCACACTATTTCCAACAGTAAAAACATGTCCCCATTGGAATCCACTGTAGTTAACACAAATTCAAGCTGACCCAAGTTAATTCTTCATTAAGAAGCAACAGAAACGGTTAATAACAAGTCGACACAGGGCGTATGTTTCATCTTTTGGCGTGGAGTATCGCTTAAAGTGTGCCAGGAGACTGACGGCACTACAGCACCGGGTGGCACGTCCCATTGTGCTGCTGAATTTAATTAGCAGTTTTGCTACTTATCAGCAGGGGAGCTGAGAGACATACAGTGGTTAAATCAAAGTGTGCTACTAGGGACAATGAACTGGATGCCAGACAGCTGTGGACTGCAGACAAGCTTCTGGGAGGCCTGGGGAGTTGGCCCAAAACAAACGGAGAATCAAATCAGCTCTTTGGTACGCTGTATTTCTAGGCTCAATGCACACACAGTATGTTCAAGGTACTGCGCTCCCTGGCTTGCATAACTCCATAAAAACAAGACTAGACACTACACATTTTTAACTTGCTCGTTTACCCTCTTTCCTCAAAAATTTGTATTTCAGTAAATGAGTTTTAAGGCTTTACAGTCCACTGTTTGTCAGTCCAAGGTTAAGAATAAAGGTGGTCACTGTTTTTACCATCTGAGCTTTTATGAAAACTACCTGTCTTATGAAACTGGGCTGGATGAGCTTTAGACCAGTGACTGGGACTATTTATGTTACCATGCTTTATTTTGTGCTTATTACTGTTCACCTCCTTTATCTTTTGCTTAAATAAATGTGCCATATGTCAGTCTTCCATTTCCAATGATTGTGCAGCACTACTTAATAAAAATACACTAATATCGTTAATGTGAGCTTTAGAACAGTGCTCAGATAATTAGTAACAACTCATTATATGAACAGTTTCTTTCTGACGGCTGCTGTCCTCATAAACAAGGCCCAGGAACCCCCCCACTAACAGAATTTCATTCCACCTCACCCTGGTCATTACACGCACTCACATGATGTGTTACATTCATTAGTGCAACTTGTTTCACATATTGCGCATTTGCACTACCTCAGTCAGCCTGTTTTGTAACATAGCATAGGTTTATTATTTAAAAAAAAAGCACATGGATTATTATTCTTTGGTAGTATTTCCTATTTTTCCATTCTATAATTTTTTTAACCAATTTGTACCACATTGCCAAGTCAAATTCTTTGTATAGTATGTGAACAACTACTTCGCAATACACTTGTTTCTGATTCATACTATGTAGTATTCAACTAATATTGCTAAGTTGCGAACATGATCAAAAGAAGCACCCCAGGAAATGAAAACACTTTCTTCTCAGACCCAAATAAGGTAAACAACAATTTCAGGAAAGCAATCTGCAGATCTCCCCTAGTTTATTCTAGCAGCCAGATGAGAAACTTACCTAATTCTCTGGAGACTGGAGAGACTGCAGCATTCTCCCCAATCTTAGACACAGCATCAAAATACAGCTTTCCCGCCAGGGTCATTGCTGGGAAAATGATAAAACAATCATTAATGTTTGTCAGAATAGAGAGCACTGAACAACACCCCAAGTACAGTAGGTGAAATCTGGCTTGGCCTCCAAAAGAAAAAACAATTCAGGTTTATTTAAATAAAACTAATCATAAGAAGCAAACATTTAAAATCCCTTTTCTGTAAGATCAGCTCAGTGGTAGAAACATTTACTCTTCCAACCACCCTCCTACAAGCAAATTAGCTCTTTATCTTGCATACAAGTTACCGTGAATGTTTATTAATGTGGTAAAATGCTCACCAGCCACGGATTTCTCATAGTTCTTTCCCAGGTTGACAAGGTTCCTCAGTCCTGGGTTGAACTGATCCATCACATTCTAGGTGGATGGAGACAAAAGGAGACAGACTGTTTGTTGGAGTTTCAGTCAAGGTTTAAAGGTGGGTGACTTTCTACCTGACTGAGAGACAGCAGATGTGAATATGGTGGGGGCGAATGAAATACAAAGCAACAATGACTATTCATTAACAGAAACTAAGATCTGTGACTTAAAGGCACAAAGTCACCATACAAGCAGCCTGAGTTCAGAAACCAGTAGGTGTACGGTCTCCATTCTTAACATTCTTTGATCGATATCACACAGTGAAACTATCATTCATAATCATGAGATTAGCACTCAGACTGAGTGCTAATCTCTGCAATTACCTTAATGACTGAGCAGTTTTTCCTTCCAACTCTATCCTAGCGGTAACTAAGTGGTGATAAGGTCATACAGCAGCTTAGGTTCACACCCAAGCCAAGAACGCAGGAAATGATAAAACCCCTTAAGACACACATGGCTAACAGTGTTTGATCAGTCTTGGAATGATCGCCTTAGTCATTAAGTGACATAATCAACAAACACTGTCACTCTGATAACATTATATATAAGAATGGATCCAATTTCCAAACTTGTGAAAGGTGAAATCATCCAAATTATATATATATAAAAAAATGTTTTGGAAACAAATACAAACTACTTGTGTAAACATACAGACTTCTGAGAGCCTGGGCTAGAGTTGATTATAGCTGCAAGCCAGAGGCGATGGCTGCTGAGGAGCTGGATGTATAATCTTACCACACAGCACAAACAGCCAGCTAAATTATTAAACCTGGAGTCTTTTTCCTGCATTTCATCACACCAAAGAGGCACAGGGCTGTCCCGAGAGGAGCCCAGCAGGTAAAAGCCATTCAACAGAGCTAAACGGTTCTGAGAAACAGCGTTAAGTCTTCTTTTTTCTCCCTTCCTCTTCAGACACAGGCACCTTTACTGTGCCACCTGTGGAGTGCAGCTTGCAGAGTGTGATAAGTTACAACTGTTGGTGGGATATAGTGACTATGAGAGTGTATTGCATCTGATTAATCATGTTTTTTTCCCATTGGCAAATTCTTTTTTATTTAATTCCAATGAAAAAAAACACAGCAAGTATTCAGTATGAAGCAACAGGCTATTTATTAAAATGGCTTTTAAGGACACTTTACCCAGCATCCCACAATGCAAACAAATATAACATTTGACTTTAAAAGCACCCACTTATCTTTGGTAAATCTAATTTCTGGATGGCACAGATGCCAGGTTTCAGTTGAAATGATGCTGATCAAACAGGGCAGCACCCTAATGAGGAAATGACACTCCTAGGGTGGGGCTTTCTTCAGAAGCAATGATCCAAACATACTTAACAGTAACTGCCTTTTGTAAAAGCCTCCAGCTGTAGTAAACTACACTCAACTGTTTTCTACTGTGTGAACAAATTGTTGGTGTCACCTACAGCCTATACCTCAGCCCAGGGATCCCCAAGAAGATCCTATTTAAATCCTGAAATAACTTATTTACAGTTACACTTATACATTATTAGCCTATGTATTTTGCTAAATTACCAATCAAAAAAAAGAAGAAGTGATTCAAGGTTGTGTCTTTCCCGTCTGTCAACAGTTTAATATTCATCTAGTTTGATCCTCTCACATAACGTGAATAATTAAAGACACCTGTAAAAGTAGTCACTGTTTGACACTAAGAAGTAGAAAGAAGCCCAGAGGGTTGAGCTGTTCCAGTAGCGTGGTGCCTTTCCTCATGTCTCGGTCACACCTGTTGTGTTCACATTTGTACCCACCTTGTATGTACTTTCTGTCAGCTTGTTCACCTCCTCCGCGCTCTTCGACATGTTTGACTGACGTCCCCTTCGTCAACGAAAAGAAAAAAAAAAAAAACAACACCAACACCAAACAAAAAAGGTCCAAGAGGGAAAAAAGTGGCCAAAGCTACGGGCGCGTGAAATTCCTCATAACCAGCAGGAGACGCAAGAGGCACACATCCTAATAAAACTGAGAGCACAAAGAGAGAAGCGGGAGCCCAGCTGACTGTAGCTGCTGCTCTGCGCGTGAGCACAGGAAAAGACCGAGCTGTCAAACTAGTTGTAGGTGGTCAGTTCACAGAAGGGGAGGAGGCCTGAGGAGGTAGGAGAAGGTGGATAGGTGTCAAGCCGGTCTAAGTAAAGCCATAAGCCACTCTTCCGGTTGGCTATGCTTTCAAGTTAAACTCCTTGTCTCCCAAGATGTTTAGTAGCGATAATACAAAGCTGTTTACCTGCTAAATGAAATTTCAATGAAAAGCTGATTTACAGTAGGTCTGCAGCTTCTACACACCTTTGACCTCTACTATTAGTGGTTTTGAACTTACAAAGTTCAAAGTTACAAAACTGAACGATTGATCTTGTTTTGAATTCATAAACTCTCAAATCCTTGTTTTTGTTTTACGCTTTTAATTTGAAAGGCCTTGTTCCATCAATGCTCTGCATATTCCTGTCTAGCTTGACAATTGCCGCAGACAGGTAGCAAAGGTGGAAAATAGATTAAATACTGGAGACTGGCGCTCCCTGGAGGCAGCCAGTCCATAACACAGTGAAAACATAACAGTCCACCATCTGCCATGTGTTCCTCTGGTTTCCTTGAGTCCAGAGTTGCTCTCAACCTGACAGACAAATAATAAAATGCATAATCTGGAGTTTATTTACATGTTGTAATCACAGATTTGAGACATTTAAAGGATGACATGTTTATTGTCATTGCTGAAAATGCAACTCCACTGACACTTGATGTCCTAAATAAATAGGCCTATCAGCTTTTTTTTGTTTTGAATCCAGTCAATTAATCAATCAATCAATCAACCATAAACTTGATTGCCAAGTATTTTAAAATACAAGGAATTTGACTCAGTGGCCACCGATGTGATTCTTTCTGCAGACTTAACTGTCTGCTGGTGTCTGTGTTGGATGAGCAGTGAACAGCTGTTGGATGTGGTTTTCCCCAGCCTCATCTGCTGCTTCCTGTCCATCAGAAAGCTGGTGATCCACTGATAGGTGGGGTTCAGGCACATTGAGCTGGGATGATGGTGTTGAATGCCAAATAGGATCCGTGCATAGGTCCCTGGGGAGTCGAAGTGTTGCAGGATGTAATGCAGTGCTGTTTTGACTGCTTCATCCACTGACCTGTTTGTCTAGTAGGCAAACTGCAGGGGGTCCAGCAAAGGGTCTACAGTGTCCTTCAGGTGGGCCAACACCAGTCTTTCAAAGGGCTTCATAAGTATAGATGTCAGGGCGACAGGTCTGGAGTCATTCAGTCCACTGACAAATGGTTTCCTGGAAACCGGGATGATGGTGAAGCATTTGAAGCAGGAGGGGACTTCACACAGCTCCACTGATCTGTTGAAGAATGGTGTGAAGCTGGGAGCCAGCTAATAAAGAATTATGTCTGACATGAAAAGTGGAAAGAGCATTAGAAGAGGTTTCATGATTCACCACTAGATGGCTCTCATGGTTAGCAAATTTTCTGTCACGCTGAGGAGCTTCATAACCTTAGAGTTAAAAATGAACACATATACATATTTATAAATGTAAATCTCCACTATGCTTAGCCTTTATTTTCAGTAATCATTGGTATTTTTTATTATTTCTTTTCATATTTTATGACACTGGCATAATCAATACCAACACACTGGCACACAAAGGTTCTGCACTTCTGCAGTATTTGAACATCTTGCCAAGAAGTCAAACAAAGCAGTGGAAAATATCATGACTATCACTTGCGAGATCAAATACACTGATTCTTTACTCTGTAAATGTCAACAGATGTTAAAACTTTGTAGAACTCCCTGCAGCTACATGGAGCTACAAAAGGGGCTGAATGTAAAATGAGATTGTGCCCTCAGGCTCTGTACACATATCACTGCTTTCAGCCGCCAAATGCTGTATGGTGACAAAGTAATTAGTCGCCACGACCACTATGTGAGTGGTGCTTTATTTTTTATTATTTCTTTCATATTATTTCTTTTTGTTATCTCATGAATCATGGCCAGACAACCTCCCACTGAGTGATGTTCCTGTGGGGAGGAATCAATACTAAAACAACATAGTGCTGAATAAAGAACTCTGAGGGTTATATATATTAATAGATATCATAACAAGTCACTCAGATTTCTGAAGGGCTGAAAAGTAACTTCTTGCTTTCACTAACAGCTAATAAAATGTTCTAATATACTTTTTATTTAAGAACCTTCATACATAAATCTCAGTATATGTCAATATCCCTTTTACTTAATCCATGATTACATCATCAAGTCAACCAATAAAAGTCTGCCACATTGTCAGTCAGCATAAAAAGAGAGAGGGAGAAGAGAAATCAGACACTGAAGCACAAAATAAAAGCACAGTATGTTACTATGCCTACAATTTATGTAAAATGGTACAGTCTTGTTGCACTGTGTCGTTACAGTTAAAATACCAATGAATGGTAAAATTAAAGCATGTGAAACTTCACACGTGCATAGCTTTACTTATGCCTAAACGTTAGTTGTTTTCCAAGCTGCTTGTGACCTCTCAGTTACTGTCTGTGTTGTGCATGTCCTCTCAAGAACAGCTCCCCATCCGTTATGATGGAATAGCTGAGTGTACCAAGGCACTGAAAAGACAGCCCACTTATGTTGTGCAAGGCCACCTCCTTTTCAGACATGCCATATTTTTTTTATCAGCAGTGCTTCACAAAAGCAACACATAGACAATAGGCTTAAGAATTAGCTTTTCGCCCTTGAAGATGCTACATGATGTTACAGGTTACAACTTAGCAAGTCTCATTAGCTGTAGCTCCGTGAAAGCACAATGTCATGTTTATTTTAGTCTTCATTCTCTGAAACATCCTCTTTGATTTTTTTTTTAAATTTGCATCATCCACACTGTTCCTACAATAGTGCAAAGATGGAAGAAAACCAAGGCAGATAAAGACACAGAGATCCTCATTACACCCATCCATTTTGACCAGCACCAGGGCCCAGAGAGCAAGAAGACTATTATTTCTTGACTGCGCTGCAATGCTGAAGCTCATTACTTTCACCAAGCAAGATCATAAATCTAGCCTTAATCTAATGGGCAAACCAATGACCTAAAGCCAAACAACTAAGTCTTATATACAACATTAACAGTTTGACCAGAAGGTTGTAAAAGCACAGCAGGCTCTTGTGTAAAGCTGTGGTTCAATAAAACAACTGCACCAGGAGTAAGAGGCACTAAATGCCACAGTGCATTTGACACAGCCTAACCCTAACCCCCCACCCCCCCACCCCCCACTGAAGTGACACATTGGCAATACCTACTTTTCTTCAGCCTCAGGGAATGTGTTTTGACAGCCTCTGGTTGATACACAAACCAGAAACTTAGCAGAGTTTGTGCTGCACTGCACCAAATTATTCCCAGAAATAATTTACAAGTTGAGGCAGAAATACTGTAAATCTCAATTTAAAGGAACACATTAATAGATACTGTGCTGGTGTTTAATCTTCAGGCGAAGGATGCTGTTATTGAGTTTTATGTCAAAAACCTCAAATAAAAAAAAGAGATTTTAAAATATTTTTGCAAGGGTCAAATTTATTTCCCTCTAAATCTAAACATTATTTTTAAAGGCCTGCAGACAGACAAAATGCCAGTTTTGTCATTCCTCGATGGTAGAACCATATTTCTACGCTCATTCTTATTCTGAAGTGATAAGAACAGAGTTCTGAATTTTTAATCTTTTGAGAAGAAACTATTGCTTTTCTAAACAGCTGAGTCATCTGTTCAGGTATTTTTCAGCGTTATAATACAAAAGGCAGGGGCTGATTTGATGCATGACATGCTTACAAAGAGCAAATAAGTAGCAGGAAGAATCTTGTAACAGTTACAAATCACACAACAGACTTTTGGCCATCTATTTTCCACTCATGTCCGTTAACAACTCTTAAAAGTGAGCTAGATATTTAACAATTCATCTTTCTCAGGACCAAGAGCCAGGTTTGTGTTGACCTTGTAAATGTGTGAAATAAATCAGCAAAGTAGTAAAAATAGTTTCACTGGACTCCTAACGACTTGTCTCACAATCTAAGAATCATGCAAACATTCACCAGCTCACAGGTAAACAGGCCCGGGCACAGAGGTGCACAGTAGATACTGTTTGCTCCTGATGATATTGCAGCCAGCAGTGTGTGAAAATTTAATAACAAAGTTGATGTCAGGCTCTGCGCCTCACTGGATCACTCATGTTGAATAAAGCCTTGTATGAGCTCTGCATGCGTCACTGACACCACAAAACATTTACAGATGGTAAACAGGGCATGATCCTCGATCAACCACAGCTGGTCATTTCTATCCATCAGGAATTTTATATATGTTTGTGAGAGGCCACTGAACATTGAATTTTCCCTGAATGGAATCTGGAGAATGTGTTTTATCTTGTTTTGAACTGGAACAAGGAACCTGGATGCAGTGTGTTTGCCTATATGACTGTAATCAATAATTGTCATGGAGAAAATGCACTGATTAGTTATGATTAATATTTAACAAGGAGATATGGCACCATAAACGTGGCTGCTCCTTTAGAGTCAAAGACAGATTTATCAGCTTTTCTTGACCTTCACTGGCTAATTAGTGGAATTTTGAAAATGCCACAGATCACAATTGAACTTCTTTTCTCAGATGACACTCAGAGACAAATGCGTCTGAGTTTAATGCTGTAGACAACTGCCTGGAGCCTCGAGCAGGGTGTGAATTCTCATTTAGATCTGCAAATAGTTGCTATTCTGAAACTCACCTCCATGTCTGGTGGTTGCAGGCATTAACACGAACACTGATTCCATAATCACTGTGTTTAAGCCGAACTCCTCGTGGAATCCAGACATTTGTGATCACACCAAACATCCTGTAGCAGAAAACGCTCCTAATGTAGCGCTGAGACATCTCGCCCCCGAATGTTGTCTGAATGAGACAGGTGCTGTCATTTTTAGCTACAAAGCTCTGTGCTCAGGAACCTTGGCTCAGTGCGCTTGAAGGCTCGTCACATACAAATACAGTCACAAACGCATGCACACTTGTACTAATTGCTGTCTCTGTCACCACGACACCTT